TATATATATACATATATTTACAGATAGATATTAAAATTCTCATGCAAACTACTTAAATAAAGCTAAATAGTTTGTTTATGTGAAATAATTATATACTTTGAAACAGACTGGAATAATAAATGTTTGGACTAAAAAGATAAAACAGTTTATATTTTAATTTATATTTCGTTATATTACTTACTTAAGTGAAGTGCTTAAAACTAAGGAAAAAAAAGTTCAGAAATTGCACAACAAACTCTACACTGTAAAAATTCCGTATCAAATTGCAGTATAAAGTACCGGCACTATGGGTGCATCATTCGTAAAATTTTATCGTAAAATCCATTTTTCCGTTAAATATTATTCAAAGTTTTTACATTTGCATTTATTTAATTAAGAGTGATTCAGTGAATTTACAGTAATTATTACTGTAAAAGTTACGGTAAATCAAATTTTTTGTTCTGTAAAATGTTCGGGTAAAATTGGTTTTTACTGTTAAAAGTACCTACACCCTGAGTTTCGGTACTTTTTACCGTACTCTGTTCCAGAAATTTTTTTACAGTGTATAAAAGAAACGGAATTCGCAGTGTAATAAGCAAAACGCAAATAAATGCAAACATTAGTCGAATTTAAATAATTATTTTATTACAAGCTGTCAATTAAAATGGATGCATGGGTCAAAGTACTGGAGCTCAATTTCATATAAATAAGATTGTTGCATTACTCATAAAACATTTATAATATTAAAATGACTTTTTACAATAATTCTTCACCACGTGACAAGGTGATATATTTTAACACAGCACTTTGACAAAATGATTTTTATAAATAGTTCATTTTCCACTGGAAACGTCCAACATATAATTTCGATCGACTGTGATCGATTTGTTCTTTTCTTTTCGAAATCATGTTCTTTTGTCACAATTGTGAAGATTGGTTGATCACTAGAATTGAATTTTTATTACAACGTTTTTTTAATTAAGGCTTTTGTTTTCAAAACCAGGTTGATTCATTTTTTTTCCTTAATTAATTTTCTATTCTGATTTTAGCCTTGGATTTATGCATCTTTTTTAATCTTCTTGCAGAAATTAATTTTCAATTATTATGATTTTTTTTTTTCATTTTAACAATTATTTTACCAACAACAGTTAGATAATACTAAATAAATAAAAAGTAAATAACAAGATTTTTTAAATATAGAGGTATTTCCGTTGCAGTAAACTAATAGTTTTAGTTAAAAAAAGACATTACTTTATTAAGAAAAATATTTAAAAAAATAATTCATACATAACTGCATTTAAAATGTAACCTTAGAATACTTATAAATATATTTATATTTAAAAAAAAATTTTTTAACGTTATTGTAAAGTACTAATTGAGAATTGCTATTTTTTGTTTTTTATATTTAAGCATGCTACTTACAAAATAATACTTATTTTGGCATTTAATTGTTTGGAACTTCAGAAATATTGCTTTCAGAAAACTTAATTGATGCCGCAATTTAAAAAAAAACGAAAAGATGAAATTATTTCTTGTGATAGAGTAAAATCTCGGAAAACAAATAAATGCTTACAAGATTTTTTAATAAATATTACAACTGACGAAGTTTCATTTACAAAACAGAATAAAAATTCATAATTAAATTTTGGTAAAATTATGATATTGCATGGTAATGATATTTTTTGTAAAGAAAGTCATAATTCTAGCAATAAAAGCAAAAAATACGATATTTAAACAATTCATTTGGTAATTTTTCAGTTCTTATGACAATGGTTTACCAGAAATTCTGGTTTTAAAAATTATAGTTCTAGTTATCAGTTATTGAGCAAAAACTGCAAAACTGAAAATTAAATTTATCTGAACAGATCATTTTTATGCCATGCCCTAAGGTATGATAAAAATTTCTAAAATTTACCACGTTTACCAAATTTCATCACATATTATAAATCTAAATTTTATAGTAAATTTAAAAACAGCATTAGCAAAGAGCTTCAATGAAAAAAATATCCAGGTTTTTAGGTGTTTCCATAAAGCCAGAAGCACGGTAAATGTGTCGGTAGTTTTGAAAATAATCTTTTTCTCAGAGTACATTGCCTTCCTGTCATATTCAATTTTTACTTTGATATGGAGTTTTATGAGATAAGTTGAGGACTACAAAGTATCCGATAGAATACTTCCATTAAAATTACAATAATTTACCATTACCCTACTATTACCAAAAAATTACCATTGATTCTTCTGGTTACGTAATTTAACCACTCTTCGAATATTAACCTTCTTCGTAATCATGGTATCCAAAAATCTTGATAATTCCCACGCCACTTCTAAAAACCAAAGTTTTTCAGTATTCATCATAACGGAAAGGGGGAAAGTGTGAAGAGTGGGAAAATCACGTAACCTTGAGACGCCTGTTCTATTTACAAATAGTATAAGTTATTTATTTTTCGAAACATATATAGACTGTGAAATAAGTCGATATATAAAATTAACGGCCAAAAAATAATCAAAAACTACTTATTATCAAAAACTAATATCGTCTACTTCAGTTTTAGTTTTCACTTTTTTTAAACTTATCTACAAACTAAATTGCTCAGTGATAAAAATTTCGATAAAATCCGTGTTTCCACTTTTTCTTTTAAATTGCCAAGCGTCTTAAACTTAATTAAAATTTCTGGATTAATATTTTCTTTTATAATCTTCTTTAAAACTACAAAAAAATGTACAAAACTGGTTTTGAAAACTGAACCCTTATACTATGTTCATACGCATCAGTAGCATACATACTGTTCGAATTTTTTCTTTATTTCTTCACTTTTAAACGAATTTTCTTCATTACAACTGCAGACTTTGACAAGTTTTTTTTCCAGTGGTCTTCATTCTGTAAAAACTGAATGAAAATATAAACACTAGATTTAAAGCTCTATCAGATTACAATCTCCAGTTTTAATGCACTTGAACGCCATTAACATGGCAATTATAAAGTCACAAAGTTCGCAATGCATTATTGTATGTCCTTCATGCATATTAGTTAAAGTTTCAATGCATGAAATTGTTGCATCAAATAATTTTATGCAAGGCTCTTTGGAATCTTTTAAATATCCATATAGCCATTAAAAATGACAGTGACAATGAGTCGTAAACTCGTCATGGGTATAATCAATTCTAATAATGATTCCCAATTCATAAAATTTCATGAGTCCTGATCCTTATTTGCATAAAATATTGGTCCATCACATTAGCTTCAATAGAAAAAAAATATTCAGATAATTTTAAAAATATGCAGTTACATTCAAATTTAAAACAATCAATTTTATAATAAACAAAAATAATAAATGACATATAAAGTCAAATGTACACTGTAAATTTACAGTGATAATCAACACTTAGTTTACACCAATGCATTTGTTTTTACAAGAAATGTGCTAGTTAATATCTGTAGCGAATTTTTATCACAATTTCTGTGACATGAATTGAAAAATTTTAATTAAATACTTTTATTTATTAGTATTAAATAAATATAGTCACTACTTAACTCATAAAAAGTATTTATACTTATAAAAAATTGACATTTTAAAATAAAAAAAGGAATATCGCTATATTTAATTTTCGTAGATTTTTGAATGACAAATTTAGCGTTAATATATTCCATTGGATTAATAAATATAATTTAAACATTAAATTTACAGGTTTTTGTTTACTTTGCAATATTAATATTAAAAAAAAAAAAACTATTCTTCTTTTGTTTACAAATAAATATGGATTTTTAGGAATGCTGAACTAAAATCAGTTGAGATTTGAATAAGAAAATATTCTATAACTTTTATGTGATGATCAATAGTACTTAGCATAATTTTAAACTTATTTAAATGCGACAAATTTAATATTATCAATAAATTTAGTGAGAAATTTTTTGAGAGATATCTAGAGAGAGAAAGAAAAATACGGAATTAATTTTATGTTTTAATAATATAAAATTATTTTTTGAGAATTAGCAATTTTTTAACTTTAATACTGAGTATAAATCAAATATAATAATATGAAATTTTATCTTCGTCATTGGAGAATTTGTAATCCCTAAGTTACGTTACATTTGAATCAGAGATGGAATGCTTAATAACTATATAAGTTAAATTTCCAAGATAAATAATCTTATAATTAATTATTAAAGGATTAAAAAAAAATTCTAAAAATTTTAAATTTAAGTTTTTCCTCATCTTTTTGAAATTGATAAATGAAAGTAAAGATCACTTTTTATTAATTATTTTAGTTGTTATTTTATACATTAAAAATGGACTAAATTAATCACTCTTATGTAAATAATCTTTTCATTTTATTAACTGCCTTTCCTTACTCCCCTTTAAATTAAAAAAACTAAATTCAACGCAAATTACAAGAGCAAAATAAGATTTACATTATATGTATAATTTAGTTATATTTTATTCCTTTTTAAAAATTCTTAATGTTTTAAAAATGTTAAGTTTCAAATATATTTTTAATAGAATTTAAAATTGGTATTTTTTAACATGTCAATTAATTTTTCCCCGCGTAAAAAAGTGTATTTAACTGTATGAATTTTTCACACTTAAAAGCCTTTATTTAGAAACATAAATTTATTTTTAAATTTTAAAAAAAAGTTATATATTTTTGTATTTNATATATATATATATAACTTAGGAAGCTACAATCATTATATATATTGATGATTGTAGCTTCAAAACCACAAATATTTTAACATAGCTCCGAGTTACCTAATTCATTCACAAACTTAAAATTAAAGTTCTCCAAATTTTGAAAAATCCTATAATTGGTAATTTATTTTTCAGTTTTTCTTATTTAACATTTCTGCACTGTGAAGTTCAAGCAATTGTAGCTAAACAGCAACGTTATACCTAATCCTGACATTGAAATTTCTTATGTATTTAAATTCACGCAATTAATTTAATAATTGACTCACACAATAAATATTAAAATCCAAAACTTTCTTAATGGTAAAATCAACACCTTTTCCAGGTTATTTAGATGCAGCGGCTCTTGTTCAAAAGTACCCGTTTCAAAAATTAAAAATATACATATGAAATAAAATTATTACAAAACAAAGATCAATACAAAGAAAAATATATTCGGTAAAAGCGACTTTGCAATGGGATGCTCGCATGATTAAGTAATATCATCAAATGGGCTCTCCCGTCAGTACCAGAAATACATTAGTAAAAGCAACGTCACCTTTCATAATTAAGGTAATAGGAATATATCACGGATTCCAAAGAACTACTGATTATCCAGTTTTTGTTTAGCGTAAATGTGAAGTTATATTGCATTTGTGACATGAGTAACATGTCTGACATGAGCAAAGGGCAAACACCTTCTACCAAGAAGTACAATAGTCATGTCGCTTTGCTCTAATCACTTCCTTCTTAGCTTGACTTAACATTCACATTAAATGCCCTAACGTGAACTGGTTAATCAGCGTGTAGTGCTTCATTCTAACTAAATTTATAGCCCTTATGGCGCTGCCTTTAATACTGTATTTCAAACGCCCTAACATGTGTCCACTTTTCATTATGCCAATACTTACACTTCACTTTTAAAAAATAAAAAATACCTTTAAACTGTTCACAAAAACTGCTGTTTACATAATTATTTTTTATTTTTATTTAAAGACTAAGTTAGATGTTCTTCTAAGCCTATTCTTGTTATCATCAATGGATAAAGTTTAGAGAACTTTTTAAAATACTTTAACAAGTGCTTACTCTATAGCTACAACAACAACCCTCAACAGTTTTTTTAAATCACATAAAACTGCTGTTTGCGAGAAATCGTAAGCTTGTTGTCAAGTACTTTAGCAAGTATTCCAAACTTCGAGTTCCATGCGTAACAAAGAACCTCGAGCTTATTCAGTAGTCCAAAATAAACAATGACTAGATTCACCACTTCGAACAGGTTGTAACAAAAAGGCTTATTCAGTCGATTATTACAAAAATATATTACCAACTCAGAATTTTAAAATTTCACTATTAAATGAAGGCTTCTTCTGTATCGACGTTGTAAGAAGACAGTCTCGATTTGAATTTGAACCACATATGTAAACAAAAGATGTAGGTTGCTCCTGAGGTTAACTGTAGTAATAGTTGTTCTGAGCTCTGACTGGCGCTCTTGGAAAACTACAGTCATCATCCTCAATGGGTTGAGCTCTTCTAAGTGAAGATCTTGTTGCAAATCTAACAACTTCAACACCAGAGTCTCTAGCTGGATTGTCGAAGTGGTCAAGGTCCGTGCAATCTTCACCAAAAGGACTGATCCCACCACTGCCAGGTGGTGTGTCAGGTATTGGCGGCTTGTTTGCTGCACCTCTTGCTTCGCGCAACCGTCTGGAACGACGCATGTAGAACTTTGTTGTAAGAATCACAAAGACCACAAGAAGTGCAAGACTGAGACTTAGCGTCAGATACAAAATGAATTTTTCTTTATTTTCTGCAAAGAAAATAGAAAACATAATCAATTTGTTAAAATTTGAACAACTTATTTCCATGTAACATTAAATAACAGCATAAAATGCAAACTTGTTTCTGATTAGTGCTCCAGTTAAATTAAATCTTACTATTTCCATGTCTCAAGTGTAGTGTGTCATTTATTATATTTATTAAAAAGAAATAATCGGTAAGACACTACTTTGATTTCAAGCCACCGAATTATATTATGTGACTGTGGCGTAACTACCACTACGAAAATTAAACATCAATTCACTGGTATATAAGACATGCTAACTTGTTTCAATCTCGAGGTACCTATTGGTAGATGAAGGCTGGCATCATAGTCGATAACTCCGCCCCCAACATGACTATAATAGCTGTATAATTATAAATTTGTTTTAAAACTGAAACAGAGTGGTTCATTACAATCGATTGCATAGAATTCATTGATGGCAGAAATTGCTCACAACATCAGACAAATTTGTAAATCGTAATTTTTTTTCATAATTTTTAATTTAGTTTGGATTTTTTCTTCTTAATGCAACTCATGCATTGAAAGAAAATCCAATTTTTCTTACGACATGGACTTCCACAGAGAAGAGAACACTATTCATCCTTTTGCCCTGTAAATGTAAAAAAATCCCCCAAAACCGTGTAAGCTTTTGAATCTACATATGGTGGTCACTGGAATTGGAGTTCTTCATCTAGATCAAAATGTGTTTCACTTGCCCCCATGTGACACGTCTGCCGTATTAATTAAATTAAAATTACTTTAATAGTATTATTATTGTATTAATTTTCTTCTTATATAAGAGTATTATTAATATTTGAAATAATTTATAACTTTAATTTTTAAATTATGTTAAGTAATAAAAAATTCTATATTCATCCAATGCATACGCTGTAATATCAAAAAATCGGTACCACCTGAGGTATAATTTGTTAAGGGAACGGAAAGGACTTTGTGACCCGAAAGATTAAACTTGAACCAGTCACCATTTGCAACAAGGGGAGTTTTCGGTCGGCAGGATTCGAACTCCCGTTCTCACGAACGAGAGTTCAGCACCCTGACAACAAGACTAACTTGGTCCAATAATAGCTAATAAGTAATGCTAATAAGTAATTAAGTAAAGCTAATAAGTAATTAAGTAAAGCTAATAAGTAATTAATATATGATGTTTCACATTAAGAGCATTTTTAAAACATTTTCATTTCGTGAAATCCAAGCTTCATTATTTTCTAATTATATTAAGCATTAAAAAAGGCTGTATATTCATCGATAAATCACTGTTAGAATTAAATTCACTGGAAAAAATTGTGCATCAAATTATGGTACAAAGTAGCGGCACATCGGGTGCATCATCCTTAAAATTCATTTTTTGTAAAATGTTACCCCTCAATTTTTACAGTAATATCTATTTCATTAATTTAATTCAGTGATTTTTCGTAAATTATTACTGTAAAAATTGGTATATCTGATTCTTCTTAACTTGTTCCGTTAGAATGGATTTTACAGTAAAAAGTACTGACACCCTGACTGACAGTACTTTCCGTAATTTTGATTAGGAAATTTTTTATAGTGTATTCCAGTAACATCTAAGATTTTATGTTAATAAGTGAGTTAATATATATGTGTGTGCATTATAATAAACATTGAAAAGTATTAAACTTCAACAAAGAGAACAGTTGCTGTAAACTTAATACAAATCAATGTAGTCACATTATAACACAAATAATGCATTTTAAATTCGTTTACTTGATCACCAAACTTTACTGAAATAACTTGGTTTAATTTAACATCTTATTAATTTTGAGGAAAATTATGCAGAGATATGGTTTAATAACAAACCATGTTCTCTTAAATTATAAGTTATGTTTATACATACAACCGTTTAACTAGCATTTTATCCTAAACTATAGTTTAATTTCAGTCCTTATTATAGATATTGACTAACGAAAAAAAAAATTACTCGGAATCTATCCATGTAGACAGATGAGATAAATAAAATGAGTTTAGTAACTATTGATGCTATTAACATTACAACTTTAATTGTGGTTAGTTTTGCTTCTTTAATATTACATCATTATAAATAAAATAATGCCATTATAAATTATTATCAAAACTCCAACTCTAAGTATTATAAAACATATACAGTAATATATATAATACGTTTTATTGAATGTTTGGTAAAATTAACGATAAAGTATGGTTTTTATTACCACTTGTAAAGTGGGAAAAGTTGGGGAATTTTAACCAAAAGCCATCATATTAAACAGTATTGGCATAGTTTGAGTTGAGATTATGCTTTTAAATTTGTTAACCTTAATTTTATTTATTTAACACTTGTTAACTTTGTTTCTCGCTGGTTTATACTTTTATTCCTTAAGTAAACTTACATTTACCATCTTTGGAAACTGCAAAAATGAGCATTCTTAAATGCATAAATGCCTGGAGCATGGACAAGTCTGAACTAAATCAGTAGCTTCACTGTTACGCATCAAGGCTGTCCCAACATCTAGCCATTGGAAGCGTAGAAGTTTCTGGTTTAAATCTCACTTCAACCCTAGATGCATCTTATATTTATTTGCTTATATTTATAAATATTTCTTTTTATTACTAGTTTGCACACATACGCATGCTTGTATGTAAATCTTGGATAATAAATCCTTATCAAATCGAAATACAGAGAAAACAAGATTGGAATGACATTAAAAAAATACATATCCTGAGATCCGGTGGGATTTGAACACGCTACCTTCACGCTACAATAAATGCATCTTTGCAATTTCTCTCTCAAATTTGAGAAATCTGTTTTTCAACTTGACTAAGTCTCATCAACGGTGTTTTGTAATGAACAATAATCCTGCATTTGTGTGTGTAACAATAAATAAATACTTTCAATAGTAGTACCTTTTTTAATTATTTTTTTACAGCAGTTACCATCTTTCTGCCAAACGTTGCTTAAAATGGGGGTATCGGTTTGAATAAAAGCATGACCATAGAGGTGTTGCAGTAAATAAATGAATTTGGTTCAGATACATATGTTTGTGCGCTTAATATAAATAATGGCTTGTTTTTCGCCAAATTCAAAAAGAGATAGCACAAAACAGAGAAAAAACAACACGGTGATATTAAACCCGCTTCCTCTACTTTCCAGAACATTCGATGGAAAGACAACACAGAAATTGAGGTCGAAATAACGTATGATTGTTTCAATTTCACCCTGACGTGAAGTATTGCTGTTCCCCTAACCGTTATAAGGCGTAGATTTAGTCAGTTTTAATATCACTAAATGTACATCTTTATTATCTTTCTCTAAATTGTGCTATTTGTTTTTCAAACTGAAAAGAGATTTTAAGTTGTTCTTTGTATTCACAAAGAACCTACATATGCCTATAAATAAATTGAAAAATGTAACTTCCTTCCTAAATGTCAGTTTGCGTAGGGACCGAGGGTGTGCGGTATTGGTCCTCGTTAAACTGTTCTACCGTAAAGTGCTCGACTTCGAGTGCAGGTCGTCGGGCTACCAAAGCGGGGGTGCTATCCCCTCTGCAGAGGATCAAAATTGTGATGGCATGTCTTCGGATTATCCTCAGGAATGTCGCCAATAGTCCATTGCGCAGCTAGCTCTAGTATGACGTTAATGAACTGCAACAACAACCTTCCTAAATGATGAATAAGGCAGCCAGCATAGTTTGGTATAACTGCGTTAAGTATCTTAAAAACACTTCGAGCGCAGTCCTTTACCTCTTGTTATAGCAACGAAAACTTACTAGAATAGGAAGTAATTCATAATCTCTAATAAATAGTAATCTAACTTCTATCAACCATTTAAATAAACCGCTATTTTAAATAAACAAAAGGAGTGTAAGCGAATTATTACCATTCTATTGTGTAAGAGATGTAGACATCAACTGGTTAAAACTGACCAATAAATGGTAAAATGAGTAACCGTTCTGAAGATTATTTTGGTTATTTTTTATCGTGATACTTTAGAGAATGACATAAAAACAAATTTTTTGGCTAGTTTTATTTTACAGTTTTGCATTTGTTACAAAATGAAAGGTAATAAGAACTATAGTTATGAAAATTCCGTAAAGAATTTTCAGTAAACCGCTTATATAGTGAAAGACTAAATTACCAGATGAATGGCTTAAAAGACTACTTTGGTTTAATAACAAAAATTAAAATTTCTATAATTTAGACTTTCCATAGACTTACGTGATACTTTTGAGCATGGCATGAACACAATTTTTGGGGTAATATTTACTTCACAGTTTCGTATTTGTTACAAAATGAAAGGTAATAAGACCTATAATTATGGAAATTCCGCAAGGTAAGAAATTTCCGGTAAACCGTTACCATAGAAAACGATAAAATTACCAAATTAATGATTAGAAAGACTGTATACTTTGCTTCAATAACCAGAATTAAAATTTCTATAACCATAAATGTTAATATCGTGCAAGTATCACTTTTTGCCAAAATGTTTTTCGTCGCGTAGATAAAACACATTCACCCTAAAAAAAAAAATCATTTTAAACAGACGTTTAATGAAAAAGAGTTTATTTTAGATGTTTAAAAAAAATATTTTTTCTCAAAAAAGTTTACATTTTTAATTTTGCAATTTATTTCCTAACAAGAATTCTTTCTTCATTCTTTAGAAACAGAACTGTTCTATTTTTCTACTTACAAGCAGCGAAGGAAAATTAATGGATCTTGTTCATCTTTCAAAAGTGTAAAAGAAAACTTTCTCTTAGAGATGAAATTATGTATACTTATAGCATTTGCTTCTAATTTTTGCAAAAGAAGTTTTTCATAAATTTCTAACTTGTTTTCTAAACTTTAACGCACTTGTTTTTTTCCCAAAACATGAAGGTAGTTTTCATTTATTATTTAAAAAAAACGCGAAGAACTTTTTCCAAATGCTACTTCAAAGACCGCTTTTTACGTTTTTAAGAAGGTGATTTTTCATTTTTAAATCTACTCCTTAAATAAGAATAATTCATAAAAAATTAAAAATATGGAAATTAGATGTCTTGTTGTAAGATATGAACAGTACTTTAAATTAACTGGTAAAGGAATTTTAGGAAAAAAAGGAAGTATTTTTGTTTAATTTTACATACCCGCACATTTAGTTCTTTCGTGTACTTTCAACATTTATTTAGTAAATAATAAAACTTCTATATTCTAAAAAACACAAAAAATTGGAAAAAAACTTCAGATTTAAAACTAAAATATTAAAATCAAAAACTGTGTTTAAAAATCCTTTAGCTATCATAACTATGGTATAATGAGTTAAAAATAACAATACTTGTAATACATACATACTTTTTTCCAGCAAAGTCTTATTATTTAATATATTTTATCCAAGATGGAACAATCTTATGTTTTGAGTATAAATATTCAAAAAAATTAATTTAACTATAAATAATGTGTGTGACTATTGTACTTAAGAAACGAAATTTTCACATATATTTTAAGTAACATAAGTAATATTAATATAAATTAGATCATATGAATTAATTTTAGATTGATCAATCGAAGATTAATTTTAGATTGATCAATCAAATATTAATTTTAGATTAAATCAATCAAAGATTAATTACAGATTAATTAATCAATCAAATAATTCAATTAAATCTATTCATTAATTTACGTTTTAGTGCGTTTTTGACAGTAATATATAGTTTTTATAACCAGAATCAAGCAAATTATTATGTATCAAATGTCCTTTAGCTGTTCAACACCATTACTAAGACTTGTTCAACATTTAAAATTGAAATATTAGAATCAAAACGTATGTTAGAAAATCCTTTAACTATCATAACTATGGTATAGTGCATTAAAAATAACAATACTTGTAAAACGTACGTGTTTTTTTCCAGCAAAGTCTTATTAGTTCATATATTTTATCCAAGATGGAACAATCATATGGGTTAAGTACAAATATTCAAAAAAAATTAATTCAAGTATAAATAATATGTTAAAGCCTGCATGAAATATACATGTGACTATTGTTCTGCAAAAAAGGAAATTTTAACATATATTTTAAGTAACATAAGTAATATTAATATAAATTAGATTATATAAATTAGATTATATAAATTAATTTTAGATTGATCGATCAAAGATTAATTTCAGATTAAATCAATCAAAGATTAATTACAGATTAATTAATCAATCAAATAATTCAATTAAATATGTTTATTAATTTACGTTTTAGTGCATTTTTGACAGTAATATATAGTTTTTATCACCAGAATCAAGCAATTTTCATGTATCAAATGTCCTTTAGCTGTTCAAGACCATTACTAAAACTTGTTAAACATTTGACTCAAGTTTCAGTACTCTCTCTTTCATGTATTAAGTAAAACTAAACTGCTAAGTAAATGGAAACCATGTAAACATCGTGGAGTTCAAATGATGTCATTGGAATATTTACGTCTTATCTATATTTTGATCAGAACTGTATGGGAATCAAACATCACTTTTAATGAAACATCCCACTCATATTATTACTATTGCTTCAAAAATTAGATTCAGATTTAAACTTTACGAACGCTTTCACGGAAAAAATATAGAACACCATTTTTTTAATTTTGACATTCCAAAATAAATTTGTAGTTAAAGACATATGTTTTGCCAGCATAGGTGATGCTACGGAACAAATGAAAAAGTTTTAATAATTGGATATAAGTGTTCTGAAAATTCTCTGAACTTTGTATTCAAATCTAAGTTTAACAGCACAAGAACGCTGAGAAAAAAGACGGATTAAAACTATCAGAATGTTGAAAAATTTACCTTACTTCTGGCTCTATGAAAACACCGAAGAGCTTAGTAATTTTTACCGTAGTGCTTTGGTAAGCATTTTGATACAATTAACTTTAAAATATAAATTTTATAGTAAGCAATAAAATTTGTTAGTTTTATCATATCAAAGAGCATGGCTTAATAGCCCTTATTTGGCTAAATTTAATTTCCCATTTTGTATTTTTTACTATGTAAGAGGTAATAATAACTATAATTTTGAAAACTGAAATTTCCGGCAAACCATTACCATATGAACGGAATGCTTACCAAATGAAATGTTTATATACCATATATTTGAATTTTTATAACTAAAATTGTGGTTTCTTTACAAGAAATATGATTACCATACTGTGTGGTAATTTTTACAGAATTTTCTTTTTCGTGTAGTCGAACTCAAACTGCTATCTAATTGTTTATTGACATTGACTTCAAATATATATATATATATATATATATTTACTAATATGAATTTACAGTTCATCATCTATGTTTGATTTCTTAAATATAATTATAAACTTGCAATTTATTGTTTTAGACATAAACTATAAAGAAATATATTACTGCGATGATTATATTCTACTAATCATAAAGATATTGGGACTTTATATTTAATTTTTGGAGCTTGGGCTGCAATAGTGGGAACAGCAATAAGAGTATTAATTCGAATTGAGTTAGGTCAAACAGGTAGATTTATGGGTGATGATCAACTATATAATGTAATTGTAACGGCTCATGCTTTTGTAATAATTTTTTTTATAGTAATACCAATTTTAATTGGAGGTTTTGGAAATTGACTAGTTCCATTAATATTAGGGGCACCTGACATAGCATTTCCTCGAATAAATAATTTGAGATTTTGATTATTACCTCCTTCTTTATTATTATTATTTATTTCGTCTATAGTAGAAATAGGAGTAGGAGCTGGATGGACTGTATACCCACCTCTATCATCTTTAGATGGTCACAGTGGTAGATCAGTAGATTTTGCAATTTTTTCTTTGCATTTAGCTGGGGCTTCTTCTATTATAGGTGCGGTAAATTTTATTTCTACTGTACTCAATATGCGATCTTATGGGATGAGAATAGAAAAAGTTCCTTTATTTGTATGATCAGTTCTAATTACTGCTGTGCTATTATTATTATCATTACCAGTATTAGCAGGTGCTATTACTATATTATTAACTGATCGAAATTTTAATACTTCATTTTTTGATCCTGCAGGAGGAGGTGATCCTATTTTGTTTCAGCATTTATTCTGATTTTTTGGTCATCCTGAAGTATATATTTTGATTTTACCAGGATTTGGTATTGTATCTCATGTAATTAGATCAATAGTAGGGAAACGAGAGCCATTTGGAAGATTAGGTATAATTTATGCTATAGTAGGGATTGGATTGATGGGTTTTGTAGTATGAGCTCATCATATATTTTCTGTTGGGATGGATGTTGATACTCGTGCTTATTTTACTGCTGCCACTATGATTATTGCTGTACCTACAGGTATTAAAATTTTCAGATGAATAGCTACTCTTCATGGCTCTTATTTTAAAATAGATACTCCCTTATTGTGATGTGTAGGATTTGTATTTTTATTTACTATTGGTGGTATTACTGGAGTAGTATTATCAAATTCTTCTTTAGATATTATTTTACATGATACTTACTATGTAGTAGCTCATTTTCATTATGTATTAAGAATAGGTGCTGTATTTGCAATTTTAGCAGGCTTAACTTTTTGATTTCCTTTATTTTTTGGTATAAAGCTAGATATAAAGAAGACTAAGTTACAATTTTATGTGATATTTGTAGGGGTAAATATAACTTTTTTTCCTCAACATTTTTTAGGTTTGAATGGAATGCCACGTCGGTATTCAGATTATCCAGATGTTTACTCATTTTGAAACATAATTTCATCGTTAGGTTCATTAATATCATTATTTGGAGTAATTATAATAATTATATTAATCTGAGAAAGAATAGTATATAAAAGTTCTTATAATATAGAGTATTATGTTATATCTTCTTTGGAATGAATTAATAATGTTCCCCCTATAAATCACACTTTTAATCAGTTAAACTTGTTAAGAAAATAATTTTTGCCAAATTGAGGATCTTATTATTTTCAGAATAGATCTTCTCCTGTAATAGAACAGTTAATTTTTTTTCATGATCATACAATAATAGTAATAATTATAATTGTAATTTTGGTTGGATATATGTTGATAAATTCTTATACTAATAAAATTTATAATCTTGGAATGTTTGAGGGTCAAAGATTAGAAAGAATTTGAACCTTATTACCAGGAGTATTCTTATTATTAATTGCATTTCCTTCAATTCGGTTGTTATACTTAATAGAAGAATTTGAAATATCTGAGTTAAGTATTAAGGTAATAGGGCATCAGTGGTATTGGTCTTATGAGTATAGAGATTTTAATGTTATAAGATTCGATTCATATATAATTCCTTCAGATAATAAGAGAATATTTCGATTANAAAGTATTTAACCGAGTAATATGTTATTACGCCAATGAGATTGGATTGCTATACCCCATGCATTTATTTTGTTTACCTTTTATGAAGTTGTAAGCGGAAGCCCATTCTGTGAGGAAACCTAATTATAAATAATATTTTTTTAAAAGAAATGAAGTTTTATAGCATCAAGTATAATATACTCGATTCTCCTTATCTACTTCTAATTTTGTTCTTTGCATCAGACTCCTAATTCATTAAAGTATTTAACCGAGTAATATGTTATTACGCTAATGAGATTGGATTGCTGGACCCCATGCATTTATTTTGTTTACCTTTTATGAAGTTGTAAGCGAAAACCCATTCTGTGAGGAAACCTAATTAAAAATAATATTTTTTTAAAAGAAATGAAGTTTTATAGCATCAAGTATAATATACTCGATTCTCCTTATCTACTTCTAATTTTGTTCTTTGCATCAGACTCCTAATTCATTAAAGTATTTAACCGAGTAATATGGTATTACGCCAATGAGATTGGATTGCTATACCCCATGCATTTGTTTTGTTTACCTTTTATGAAGTTGTAAGCGGAAACCCATTCTGTGAAGAAACCTATCACTTTCTGATCCCCCTCCAGGTTGGTGCTGTTGGCTTCCCCTTCCTCACCAGAATTTTCATCGCTCTGCATATCTGTCTTGACTGTTGTCTGTTGAACGTCCAATTTTGTAACTCCTTCTTCTGAAGAGGAAAAAATAATCAGCGCGGCTAACAGTAAAAATGTCGCCAACATAAAATAATGAAACAGAAAATTTTTAAAACAAAACAAAAAAGCTTTAATTCTTAAATATCAATTAAGTGTGATTAAATGGAAGTAAATAATTATGTAAATAAATTGAATGGAAAAAAAATTATATAGCTAAGATTAGAAATGGAACTAAAATAAAATCATGAAATAAAAATACGAAGATAAGAATTGCAAATCTTATTTCTTAGTAGCGCCACAAATGAAAATATAAATAAAGCAGTTAAAAAAAGAACAATAAGCCTGGTTAAGAATTAAAATGCCACCCAAGTAAAAATATGAAACACAAATTTTAAAAATTAATCATGGAATCTTTAAAGTTGAAAAAGGTAAATGAAGAATAATTAGCGTGTTACAGTTTACGTCGAAGATTAGACGGACTAAAATGCATTAAATGTAAATACCAGTTATATACTAATAAAAAAGGAAGATAAATAAAATATTTCTATAAAATAATAAAATAATTTCTGTAAAATAATCAGCTTTGCAAAGGTAAAACGTCGACAATTTGGAAAACTGAAACAAGAATGCTGAATTTTTTAATTTTACTTTTATTTTAAAATAAACTGAAATTCAGTGTTCTTTTAAAATATTTCTCTTAAAATATTAAAAGTGAAAAACTAATTCAATAAGCAGAGCTAAAAGTAATAACATAGCAAACACCAAATAATGACGCATTTTTTAAAAAGTTAATGTTAATTCTTTGCTGTTCTTTAAACATACTGAAGTAAAAAATATGTAAAACTACACAATTATAAATTGGTAATTAGTTCAAATATGTTACCCGATGCGTTTTTATAAATTAAAACTAAATTATACAGAACGTAATAAAAATAATAATAAAAAGTTATAAAACAGAAAAAAACTTTGTGCGAAATACGTGAATCTCAAGGGAAGCTTCTTGTTTTTGTAATTGCCAATTGGTGCACTCCAAGATTAGCAACCATATTTCAGTGTAAAGTTCGTAATTTTTATATATTTTAAAAAGTATATATTTTCATAGCATGTAAATTCGTAATAAACCATACCTTCATAGTTTATAGAAATAGGATCATGGGTTTAAAAGTACGATTACGAAAGTAAATGCCTAAATGCTGTAATTGAACAAGGGGGGTGGACAGTTTATTAGTATGACAGATACCAATGAAATTCGACCATAATTCTGATAATTATAGAAAAAAAACTCTCACTTAAGATTAAGCAACTCTTGCACTGTTTTTCATGTCCTTTCCGTTATGTTAGACAATTTTTACATGATATAAGGGTTTTTTTTCCTTGCAGAATGATCACTGAAAGTGCTTCTTAACTCGTGCGCTATAGCACTGAATTCTTAGAGCGCTGAAACATTATTTTTTCCGATTGAGCTAAAAACTATTTACACTGAATAACTGGATGGTACAGGGAATAGTGATCCTGCTTATTAAGTATATCTTCCAGGTTCATATCTGGCAATGATTTAACTCCCTACCCTTTTTAAATTATGTTGTATTTCTTATCCTATTGTATAATCGATTTGTAACATTAAATGTGATGCTTTAGTATACATTGCGCTTCTTCAAACCTCATGGATTTCTGGAAATACGTATTCTACGGCAGAATAAGATATGATAATTTCGTCAATATTCTGGAATGTTCGTTTGAAGCACTTCCCGGTTAACGGTTCACCAAAAAGGAATACATTTTTGTGAATTTTTAGTATTAATGGTAAACATTTAGGTTTATTAAGTATGGAAAAATATGTAAAATATGCTTAAAGAGTTTAAAATACGCTTTTCATGTGCAATAAATTGCACACCCCTAAAATGTTTCAAAACCAGATTATAACATTACAATAAGGAATGAAATGAATAAATATATCATCAACATTAATTTTCTCATGCATGAAATCGCTTTAAAAATTATTAAAATATAATGTTACTTTTAAGCATTTTGAGCATCGGAATTTCGAGAGAGATTTTAAAAAGCATATAGGAATTGTAGCACTGGTCTTAATAAAACTCTCTCACTTAATAGGCTTATTCGGAAGTACAGTAATCAGTTTGTGCATATGACGGGTAGTATTTAAAATTTATAACTTAGTTTCGATGAAAAGCAATCTAATTTAGCTTTTCTTCCAATTTACTAACAAGCACTTTCTAGAAAACCCAAGTCATGATGAACATCATTTTTTTCAAATTTTTAATGCAAAGTAAAGACAATAAAACTAATGTAAGCATTCTAACAAGTCAAATATAAAATATAGTATATTGCTGTATTATATAACAAATATTTTTTACTGTGAAATATGTTTTTTTTCTTTCAAATTTTAAATGCAAAGTAGTTTAGACACTTTTATTTATGTAAGCGGTCTAACAAGTCAACAAAACAGTATAATATGTTACTATAAAATCCAGTAAATATTCCTTACTACGTAATTTCTGCAAACTTTAAATGGAAAGTAGTTTAGACGCCAAAATCTAGGTAAGCATTCTAACAAGTCAAATATACACTATAATATGCTGCTGTAATATTCAATATACATATCTTTTAATGCTCAATATTTTTCATATTTTAAATTCAAAGTAGTCTAGACACTAAACCTTATGTAAGCACTCGAACAAGTTAAAAAAATACTATATGTTGCGGTTATATCCACTAAAGATGCTATAAACGCAGTAATTCTTTACTGTGTAATATTCTTCAAATTTCAAATGCAAAGTAGTACAGAGACTAAAATCTATGCAATCACTCAAACAAGTCAAATATGCACTATAATTTATTGCTGTAATATAAAATATCCAGTTTTACTATGAATTGTTCAAACTGTTTGTATGAAAATTTGAACTTTTGATCTATACTTTATTTGTATTTAAATTAATTAAAAATAAATGAAAAGCAAATTCCAAGCAAAGGGCATTTTTTGTTACATAAAATTAAGTAATTACATCAATTAATATTTTTATAATTTTCTAAAACTTTTTATAAAACATTGCATCTAAAGTACCTTGAATATGTAGAATTCACACAAAAATAATTAGGACTATAAATTCGATTCATCTGGCGATAAAAAATAAAATGTACATATTATTTAAATATTGCTTTGGTAAGCTACACCAAAGTAATGTTTCTTTATTTTTAATCTATGAAAAGTCAAAGGTATTTGTTACAAATTGAACAATTAGATACTTACTAACACTTTATACAAAATGATCAACACTATAGAATACCTTAGCAGCTTTACATGAACTGATAAACTAGCAATATGAACTATAATCTAGCACTTAAAGGCGAAATATAATCTGACTAAAAAAATACTTTGACCATTTAATCAGAAACCACATACCTTGAGCCACAACCCAGTGATGGGATACTTTATACATCACATTAGATTTTTATTACCGATGAAGATAATAACAAATACTTTTCACACACTTTTTAATCATTTATAGAATAACTAATAGACTGATAGACAATGACTATTCAAAGTATATAATTCTTAAATATCATACTTTGCGTAAAATATGAAGTATTCTTTCAAATAATTAATGAAAGCCATACACGACATTCTATACAATGACTAGGCAAAATTTTTAAAGCTTTTCATACTTCCTACTCTGTCTAATGAAACCTGTAGAATAATTCCGTGAAATATTCTGAGGAATAGTTAGCAAAATGCCGACAGGTCTATACAATATTTGGGCAAAGATTATAATGCTTTTCATTTTTCATATATATCCTAAAAAACCAGGTATTTTATAGAAAAAATAATGAAAAACCTTCAGACATGTAATGTAATAGGTAAAATATATATTGCTTATAGTATTCCATACATTGCCTAATGGTTATCAGCCTTATGGTATCATCATATAATGACATTGTCATGTATTTAACAGAATAATTAACAAAAAAAACCCCACTATACAACGATTAGGTAAAGTATATAATGATTATCATGTTTCATAGTTTAGATAAAAACACCTCGCATTCTAAAAAAAATGTTGGCAATTCTTACATATTGATCACACCATGCATTTTAAAAACTGTCGTTAAAGTGCAAACTGTTTATGAACTCAATGTAGTAAATCTGGTACAAAGCATATTTAAGAAATGCTTGACAGCAATTTCAATTCTAGTTAGTAATTTTATGTCATACCAAATGAGTTGCATTTAAAATTTTATGAGCACACACGCGAAAAGCAATAAACTAAATAACGCATTAAGAATAAAAATAAATTATGAATTTGATAGCAAAAACATTCTAACTATAAAACTTTTTGAAGAAAATCTTTCAGATAATTATCAACAAAAATCAGAACCGATAGACAAAAAAGAAACATCATAAAGAATTTCTGCAATCCAGAAGAAAATATTGTTACGTGTCTAGGAAGCACAGATAATAATAATAACTACCATTCTTAAGAAACTCACGTTTTGCAATGAACGAACGTAAAAAATTATGATTCTTTTGAATTATTAAGCAAAGAAACGATAAAAAATGGGACTTGTTTCTTTGGCTGCTTTTTATGACGGCCACTTTCAAGATTACAATTATTATGACACATGATACATTTTGTACAATATTTGTCAAACATAAAAAATATGGGAATGTGAATAAAGTATTGAAAGGATTAATACGCTTTAACATAAAAAAGTGATTCTATTAGTTTCGATTTCTTAATCTGTCACTTTTTATTAATAGAATTATAATAGTTACTGAGTATTGTTAACTTGCATAATAATTTGATTTATAATAGATAAGATTTTTGTCACATTGAAATTATATCACGGCATATTTATTCATTTAATTCACGTTTACTTAACCTTAAGTTTTTCTTTTGGAATAAGAAGACAAAGTATGACTTCAATAGATCAAATAAAGCACAAATAATGATATTCTGTCTAAATAAAGTAAAAAAATATTAGCTATTCGGCTTGGCGGCAGAGACACATATGCTCCAGTGCTGTTTAGATCTGGGGAACATACATGCCTCAGTGTGGCCGAAAGGGTAAAAAGACATTCTATTTTGAATGATCAATAACAAGCCTCTACAAGTAATTTAAATGAAATCTACCCTTTTTCCTATTATATGTATTGTTATATTTATTGTTCTTAAAATATATATATAGGTAAATACCTATACATATATTTTTCCTATTATATGTATAGGTAAATACCTATACATACATTTTTCCTATTATATGTATAGATATTTACCTACTTTTTCCAACTGATAAATTGTAGCAAATATTTGTCAACCGATGTAATCCAAACTTTCCGCATCACCAGTAATTATTACTAATTTTAAATACCAATAATTTTAAATTACCAGTGAATGAATAGTTACTAACGGACACTTAGGAGCATGGGAAGAGATCGAAAGTTATCGAGTTATCAATAGATAATACAGTCAGAAAAAAAGCCAACTCAGCGTTATTAATATGAGTTTTTAAATAATCAGGCTGCAGCTTAATAATCAAAAACACCGTGAAAATTTTATAGAAAACTGTAACCGAAGCATTTTTCTTGTTAGAGAAATAAAGCATCTTAAAAAAAATGTTGTTAAAATTCAATATATATTCAAATAGTGGTGACAGTGAATTAATGAGGCAAGTACTTGTAATGAATTGCATAATTAAGAAGTTGTACTGTTGAGTACTTGTACTGTTAAGTACTTGTATTGTTGAACACCTGCAGTGATAGGTACTTGTATGAGTTAAGCATTTGTATTGAATTAAAATGTTAGACAGTACATTGATTGTTAGGTTTTTTTGGAAGGCAAACGCTCTATACCCTGAGCCATTACGGCTCTTTTAATGCGTATATTAATGCGATATATCCTAGATCTTAGATTCCTTAAAAAAATTCACAAATGGTGTAAAAAGTGAGGAAATGAGAAGTATTTTAGTGATTTTGCATTTACCACTACGCTTAATATTTTTCAAATAAATAAATCTAGCTACGAATTCTTTGGTTTCGTAATTGGTTTTCGTTTGGTTTCGTAATTGTATGACGAAAGCTAATAAAAAGTTTTTTCTCTACAATATTGAAACCAATTTATTAATTTCTTTGAAGCTCGCATGAATTCAACATTCCGATTCGACAGATCTAACATATTATCCGCAAGAACCCCACAACTCCATCTATATAATCTTACTGTATCATTTAATAAGATAACATTCCCATTTCAATCATCCATATAATATTCTGATCTTACTGGCTCAGAATTTGATGAATATCTGTGCATTTACTCTGGATAATCCTATAATTAAGGGATGACATGTGTTAGGTGTCTCCTTAAACTTAACACAAATAATGAAAACCTTTGCCGAAAATGTGATAAAATGTTTTTCAGAAGTGATGGATTAAATCTCTATGCTAGATTTTGTTTATGAGATTCTTTTTACTCATTTCTCATGATTAAATTAACTTTTACAACTTCTCGTAAGTTTCTTATGGTTAACTGATTGAAATATATGACTTTAAAAATTTTTACTGAAGTTTCTTACTGTTGTATTGGGTGACCAACTCACATTGACATTAAGGAAAAATGGTGACTTGCCATTTTTTTCAACTTTTGCAAATATTTCATTATTTTTTACTTAGAATATGCGTTGTAAGTAAAAAAAAAATCGCATAATTAGAGTATGCATAAACATTCTCTGAGTATCTATTCCTAGTTTATTTATTTCAGTTTGAATTAACTATGGCTATCTATCCTAGACGTACCATGCATTTTAAAATTTACGAAATGTATTGTTAAGATATTTGAAAAATATTTTTTTCGCTTGCTTACTTTTTATAACATTTTAAATGAACTATAAAATTTAAAACGCCAATCAATAGTAAGTTGTATTATTTATATTAAAAAATACCGAATTAAACTATGAATATAGAATTCTAATAAATTCTATCATATTATTTTTAATTCAATATGGAGAAGATTAGCAATTTCATCGACAGTGCATCTTAAAATCTACAAGTATACTTTATAGAGTATTTTAAATTAACTAAAACAATGTATAAATGATTTAAAATGCCAATCATTAATAAATTACATTGTTTGTTTATTTTTAATTTTTTTTCTTCTTTTGTTTCAGTATTAAGAACAAATAGAGATTCCAAAATCAATACTCTTTAGGACCCATAAAATTTAATTTGGATATCGAATTTTAAAAAAAAGAGAGAAAAAAAAAGATATTTTATTATATAACCACATTCAAATAATATTAATTTATTTTTTGATGGCACCTAGGGATTCAATTTTAGTTCTTGCGTCCATTCTATAATTGGGTGATAATTTTCAACAACATTGAATTTATTACCTAGTTGTGGTTTTAGTGTTGGCGTCCCTTTGATTGGAGGTTGGCTAGCTTCCAGAAGAGGTCCCATCGTTGCTGGTGGTACGTACCTAGGTTCTTCAATAAAACCGGTATAATCACTGTCATCTTGGTCTTTGCTGTCATCATTACCTCCTATATCCAGATCTTTTAGAATTTCTTTAGGAACTATAAAAATTAATAAAACATGAAACAGGAAAAAGGAAACGAGTTACATCTTTTTATTACAGGTACTAATATCGACTAAAATGTAATAACCCAGAAAAGATCAAAACTATTATTTTGAAGAAAGTATAAAAACATTTATTTTAGCATGTATGGTTTAATACAGTGTAATATATTTTTCATTGTTTTAAGCAGACGACTCACAATTAAATGTTACTCACAATTATATACTCCCTATTAATCATAAAATACGAAAATAAATTTTATTTTAACAACGTTTATGAACTTGCATTAATGTTAAAGAAATATTATGTAAATTAAACGTATTTACAGACTATAATAAAATTTATTTAATTTTTGTTAAGTTGCAGTGTTCTTTAAATGTTTTCTAGATGAATATTCAAATACCATTCCTTTTATTTATTTTATTATTTATTATATAATTTAATATTTAACTACGATTATGAAATAATTTTTCGTTATTTTGGAAAATGGTTCTAAATTAGAATGTTTTACAAAAACCCTTTATAAATTTTTCTCATTTAATACTAAATAATATGCTTTTTAATGCCATCAAAATATTTCCTACAGAACGCTTTAGGGTAGTTTAAGCAAAGTAACAAATATTTTCTTAATAAAAATTTTTTTAAACAGATAAATGCATAGAAAGCTAAAAAAAATGGACCAGCCTGAACAACGTTTGATCTAATGATAGGATTTTCAAGTTCTAAACCTCAATCTTAATGTCTCTTGAGGGTGCTCTCAAACATGCTAATTAATAAGTTCAGACCATATTTTAAATTGCAAAATCGGACACAAAAATTTACTGTCTCTAAAATAAAACATAATTTTTTTCGATGGGATTCAAATTTCTGACCGACCCCCAAAATATAGAGGATAGCCACAATCTAGGAAATATGATACCAATAGTTTGGTTAGGAGAGTGCTTAAAGTTTGGACCTCTTTATGTTAATTTTTCTTTTTCTGAATTTCGTTTTATCTCGAGAACTTTTTAATCGAAATGAAAATATTTTACACATAATTATGAAAATTCGTTTATCCATAGATAATCCCATGCAAGGAATACAATTTTTGTATCATTTTAAAGAGTATAATTCTATATAGCAAAATACAAAATTTTAGCGAAGTCGATCGAATAGTTCCGGAGCTATCGAATTTTACGAATCTGACTATTTTGAAATATGTAGATTAAAAATCTATAATTAAATATCTGTTAAAAGCAAAATATAGTTCAGAATCCAAAATTTCAAGGCAAGTGATCTTTTAAGAAATTTGATTAACGAATTATGAGTGAGCTTTGCTTAAGCGAAAACCAAATTATATTCTAATTATTTCCGTTAATGTTTACACTTCGCTATAAATTAGATTTGTTTAATTTTTAATAAACAGATGGCAGCACCGTATTCTCTGCGTCACACAATACGTCGACACTACATTATGCATTGAAATGAAGGCATGTGTTTTTGACACTAAACTGTCAATTTTAAAATAGTTTCCACTCAAAATTATATTCTTTATTTCTAAAATACTTTGGAATACAATTTACTACTTTCAAAACTGTTATGACAAATGTTCATATTGTATAAATATTGGTATTTAGATGAAATATGACTTTGTACTTTTGTGTCCTATATAAGAAATAAATGTGTGTATAAATGAAAACAACTGACTTCGGAATATTAAATTCACTAACAAATAAGAATAATTTACAGTGAACAATGGAAGCATAGATTATATTGTGTTTGCTTGTGGACGAAATGTAATTATCATATATATTTCAATGCAACTAATATTTATTCAAAAAACAATGGATCCATTAAACATAATGACTACAAATTACTACATTCAAATCTTCAATTCCATTAAATTAAGTCTCTGTTTAATGAATTTAAATATTTATTAAAACTGCATATCTAATTAAGCTTGATTCCCCTCGATATTAATTCAAATTTGAATAAGAATGGATGGTGCAGAAATATGGTTTATTAAATATTGTAATGCAATGGTATTATTTCGTCTTTTAGATTTAAAACAGTCAATTATCATAGGATATACCAATGATTTTTTTTCACCAAAGTTAAACTGGGAGTATATAATTTAGTTAAAATTATTGCAACAATTCAAGATAATCTAGAATTTATTGAGAGAAATTTCAAAAATAATGGATAAAGCCTTTTTACTAAAACTATTATAAATTTTCAACCCATTGAAATAAACTATTTATCTAATGATTACACTGTTTGCCAATGTCTAAGAAATAAGTGCTTTTGAGTAAGATTATGCTATTAAAAGTTTTTATATCAAACTGAAAATATAGTTAGGCTTTGCTTTTTAAACTAAATTGCACTTTATGTTCCTGCATCATAATTCGTTTTATTCAGCGACATCACTACGCACAATTATGGCTAGTTATTTTGATATCAAGATTCAAAATCTAAAGCACGGTAAAGAATTTTATGGATCGATAAGATTTGGTAGGTTTATAATTGGATTAATTGTGTAGACAAGAGATTTTCGTGATAGTAAAGAAAGAAAATGCTGACGTTAAAGGAAATAAGTCTGTGAAATCTTTTATTTAAGAGTTTTGCTAGATTTCAAGCATTTTAAAAAAATGTTTCAAATACATAAATTATATGCGATGCTGCTGCGTCAGAATTCGAAATTCTCAGCTTCGATTCCGTTCATTTAATTTATTATATTATCACTCAATGGCATTTAGTTTTTAATTCGTTATTTTGTAATATATCGGTTCTTCTTAGCTTTACTGTAACAGAATTGAGTTTCCCTGTTGCGCGTGTGCCATTTTGTGTGCAACATTATGGCTATCCAGCACCAAAATTGATGTGTCCCTGCTGTAGATTTTTTAATCAGTGTGACTCCCCCAGCCAATATGCCGTAAGATGATTGTAAGTTTATGATGATTATAATTAAGTCCTTTCTTTTAAATTTTAGCCGTTAAATTATGTTTATTTAGATTTCATTTCATCAATAGCTAAAATAGTTTCAGTTTTGTGTCAAAAGTTTGTTTTGGTGAGAACTTGCTTGAGTAAACGTGGGAAGAATGATTACTCACAGCTCTGCCGGTGGCGTCACAAGAAAAACGACGCACCCGTTACAAATAAACATCGCTGTATGAAAATTTTGATGAAGAGCCTTTGACAAATGCTGTTTTACGAAGTTATCCATAAGCCCTAAAGCTATCCAGGCTTAAACACCGCATCTCCATCAAACACTAGTGAAGAATATGTAAATGATATGGAGAAAAGTACTAAGACTCATGGTTTCATCATGGACTAATCGTAAAGCACGGTTTCCAGTTGATCACCGTAGCAAATCCTTTCTGGCAAGGGTCGAAAAATGGCTTGGTGACTCTTTTGATCAGCCTGTGAAGAGACGGAGGGTGCACGATATCGGTCCTTTATAAACTATCGTACCGAAAAATGCTCCACTATACACGCAGGTCATCGGTATATACTGTCAAAAATTTCGTAATCAAACTGCGGTTTGAAATACCGGTATTTTGGGTGTATCATCCGTAAAGTCCATTTTACCTTGAAATCAATTTTTGCAGCAAAATATCATGTCGTAATTTTTACAGTAATACTTATTTAATTATAATGATTTTACGGTAATTATTATTGTAAACGGTAATTCTTATACGGTACGGTAATTATTACGGTACGGGAATTACGGTACGGTAATTATTATACGGTACGTGTTACGGTAATAATTATTGTATCCGGTAATTTGTGCAGTAATACTTATTTAATTTCAGTGATTTAGTGATTTTACGGTAATTATTGATGTAAAAAATACTGTATAAATGCTGTTTTGTTCTGTAACAAGTTCCTGTAAAAATGGATTTTACGGTAAAAAATACCAGTAACATCAGTGCCTGTACTTTTTTACCGTGATTTAATCTGGGATCTTTTGGAGTATACCGGAGCAGGAAAGCCATCCGTCCTGCAAAATATCAAGATTGTGATGCCATGTCTTCTTTAGGGATGTTTCCCAGACTGTCATTGTACAATGCTGGTGTGAAGTAAATAAAGTACTACAACTACGAATACAAATTTTTTTTTTTCTTATTGGGATAATAATTTAGAGATTTCTTGAGACTTGAAAATCAAGACCTAAATATGATCCTTCTAGAACGAGGAATAGGGAAAACATGTTGAGGAATCCAGAACACGTGAATTCATCATTCACATGCAATAGTTAAAAATCTAGAAATGACTTAGCTTTTCGAAAGTGAGTTCCATGTTGATTGAAAAAAGCCACGGGGAACAAAAAAATAATGAAAGGAGAAAAAAAAAAAACGTTTGCCAAAGAGGCTAACCAACTCTGGCGCAGTATAATTATGAAATTCTGATCAAATTGCATACGTGCAGCAGATAAACTCCCTTCGGTTACAGTTAAACAAAAAAGAATATAAATATTTAAAGCAAATCATTGAATTAAAAGGTAAAGCAAAAATAAACAAAAAAAATTGAGTGAAATGCATTAAGTTTAAAACTCTACTGCAAGTATGATGCAGCAACATAACAAATGAGTAGAGTTAGGTTCAAAACATATTGAAAGCACATTTTAAAATTTGAGTGTGTAGAAATGTGAAAAAGACTCCTAGTTTCATTTTAAGTGTATTGAAATTTAAACTTTTGTAAAAGAATATAATATAAAACAGTATTTATATTTTTTTCATGTAGACTAAAATATTTGATTTCAAAACCTAAAGTTTCTAATTATTGTTAATATTGTTGTCGAAATCTCCAAAAATCTTTTAAGTTATAATCTAAATATATTTACAACGTTCCTTATAACAACTAACCCTAGATTTCAAAAATGAATTCGCAAATTCCTTCACAAAAATAAAATTGAACTTTCTTCCAAATTCATTTCATTGCAAGTTAAGACAGATTTGAGATTATTATGCTTAATATGCAGCATACAATCAGGAAACATATTATCAAAGTATGTGAAACTTTTAACACAGAAGCTGCAGGTGTTACTAATGACACTTTGATGTGGCAATTTCGGAAAGTAAAAAGTTTGGGAGCATTCTTTAAGATGACAGTTTGTAGATCAATATGTTATTTCTAAAGAGCTAAGAATAATAATAATTTGGAATGCTAAATAGCAAAATTACGGCAATTTTCTTAATGCGATTGGCTGAGAAAATATATTACGCAATATGATATTGTCTCTGTAATTAACCTTAATTACTGGAAACAAATGATATATGAGTTTATATATCAGCTAAATGTTACATTTTAATTCTTTAAACTAATACCAAAATTGCTGTAACATACATTGTTTGCAAGTACATTGTTTCTATAATACATTGTTTGCAAATATTGAAACGAATCCAGGTGATGTCTGGGCATTAGAAAATACAGCAGAAAATATAAAACAACAGAACTTTTTGAGTGGATAAAAAAAATCATGGGAAGAAAAAGTTTCAAGATATTAACTTTTCAAAGCTATTTCTTATAATAGTTCAAAGAAATGAAACAAACAGATTGATTGCCGGCGTTAAACATCTAACCCATTTCTGAGTATAAGAATTCACTAAATGATACTTTAAATTGAAAGACGTATGAATAAATAAAACATGGGAAAAAAGAGTTTCAAGATATTCAAATCTATTTCTTATAATGGTTCTAAGAAATGAAACAAGCAGATTTATAACAGAAGTAAAACCACCAAGCCATTTCTGAATTCAGGAATTCACTAAATGCTGCTTTAAATTGAAGGAAGAGTATCTATCTTACTTTAACTCTTTCTGGCTCACCAAAGTTAAATAGAACTGCACATTAGCAAGTGCAACCGGGAATTCTAGGTGAAGAGACATACTTTAGTTCTTGGTTGTTCAACAAATAGTGATTGCTAAAATTCGGTGGTGAAAGTTAAGAAGCACACACACAATTTTTAATTTCTACTAGTTCAGTAATAATTTTGGATGTGTTTTCAGACTAGACATGCTGCTTTAGTTAGGGTTAAAATAAGGCTATAAGACGTAACTAGTTATTTTTTAAAGACAAACTAGGAGCTACAAGATTCTTCATATCCTGCTTAATATTGAAAGGCACGCATCCTGCTTTCAGACAAAGCTAAAAATACTAACTCAATTTTTTAAACAATCCTGGGTGTATAAGTCCGTGCCAGTCCTTAGCCCAAATGAAGCATGAAGGAAAAAAAATACTTATTCTCTTAATGCTGGTATTTAGAAGCTTGCCCATTTTCTAACAGTCAAGTACATTTATTCAATTACCTTTTTTCCGTTATCGTTATTTAATTACGAAAAAAAGTAAGTTCTAGACATGTTTCTTAACCCGAAAATTCCTGTCTTGTAAAATTGAGTTTCAAAACAATTTTTAAATAAATAATGCAGTAATCTTCTTAAATGCTTATTTTTCAAAAATGAAATACTGCCTCAGCATTTATTTATCACATCTATATTACACTACACACTTTATATTGATGTGTTTGAAAATATTTAAGTAATCAGATATATACACATACCACAAGTGTGTACAACTTTTAAAAATAGTCTTGTGCCTGTAGGACATCCAGGTTTGCCAAACGTCCCAACATCAGCACCGATAGAACACTTTCGACGCCCATGGCAGCTACTCATCACAGCTTCTGTTGCATAACTTACTTGGCAATCTGAAAAGAAGTAGACATTATTTCAACCCATAAAAATCATCATTTTGCATAAAATATCATTCATATCCACAAGTTGAGGTAACAGACTAGAAAAATTTCAAAAATATAGAGTGTTCCGAAAAGAAAGCCCTTAATACAAAATATTTGAAAGCAAGGAAGTCTACATCTTAAAGATCACGTATTACATCTTTTCGCATAATAAAACAAAGAAAGAACAAAAACGGTCTTTATATCTTAGAAACCTTTATTAAAGGTATTGCGATTAAAAACAGAGAAAGCTTGTTTGATTGCCGGAGAAAGGAACTTGGAGCATAAAGAAGCTTATAGTTAAAAGCACTTCTAAGCTCCATCAAACTGGTTTTCATGTTTTGACATCCACCTTCATTTGTATTTATTCGTAAAATTTCGATAAAGCTTTCCCCCCTTTTTAATATAAATTTACTAATTCAAAGTGACTGCATTTTTACTGCACTCTTGACAAGAGATTGCAATATAGTGGTAATTACGAAGATAAGTACATTCAGGGTCAGCCACAATCACCTCCCCCTTCATATTTGGTCAAATAAAGTCAAGAAAACGGTCCCTTTTCCAGCTTTCAAACATTTTTCCCTTGACCACCACGATTCTCAGATCTAATCCCATGTAATTTTTTCTGTTGGGTGTATCCAGATCCAGCGACTATGGCGTATCACAGCTACTATCATCAATATCGAAACATACGGTTTGCATAAAGTTTGCCAAGAAATGAAGTTCATGCCTGATGTATGCCGTAAAACAGAAAGAGTGGGCATTGTAGATATGTGAAGATTACATTTAAAAGTTGATGATATGTCAACTCTGCCTGTTTACATTTAAATTAATATATTTATTACATTTTGCACATTGCACCTATGAATTTTTTTTTCTATTTACCTTGAATAATGTAAGGTGTGCTTGTTCTAAAATAGCATGTATGTAATATACAGTACTGGATATGTATATAATATAAATACAGTGCTTTCTGATATTCCGTATGTACTGGTCAAAGTGAAAAGGCATTGATTAAAAACTAATGAGAACTTTGAGAACCGCGCAATTTGATAGGAAAAATATTTTACTCTAAGGATATTGCATTTATTATTTTTTATTACAATATGAACGAGATAACTTTTTAAACACATGAAACTCAGATATTTTAAACCAATTTCATAAGGAAACCAATTTTTTGTAGTAACTTAAAGAAACTGCATTGTACACAAGAGAAAAAATAACTGTTTTAATTTCTTAAAGTTACTGAAGGAATAAATTTTGAAACTTGAAATTTGCATTTCTGTACAATTATTATAATAAATACTTAAAGTTTCTGAAACACTTTATTTAAATATTTATAAACTTTGCACAAAAATATGTTAAATTACACCAACTTATAGAAAAATAAAAAGTATTTTGCCTTCCCACCCAAAAAGAAAAGAATATAAAACATTGCTATAATTTTATTTATTTTATTCAAGAGAAATCAATGAACGGTGATTTCGATCTTCATGCTTATAAATATTTATTATAATATACTTCTACAGCAAATAAATAGTTGAATACTTAAAGCATAATCCAAAGCCCTCAAAATCTTATTATCTAAAGGAAATAAGCGATAAATCTTTCTTGTAATCCGAGAGAATGGAAAATAAGCAGGGATTATCGTAGGGAGATTAGATTGATTAACTTTCAATAAAACATTTTGAAAAAAGGCATTTAAAAGTTGATTTCAATTGCGTACTTTTCATACGGAAATTGTTATTACGAATGTCAGCCAAAACTCCTATGATTCACATTATTGCCTTAATCAATTTAAAATACAATTAAAAAAGAAATCAATATTTCGAGATAACACAAGGAGAAAAAAAATCTGGTAAACTTTCCGCACTGAACGGCAATAATATTTCATGTAAGAGAAGAAAAAAACCTAATTTTGCTTAATAAAACCAAATTATACAGGACTTAAACCATTTGTTTGATAAATTTTGAATTCATATGGTAACGGTTTACCGGAAATTCTGGTTTTCCTTTTCAAAATTATATTTTTTATTACCGCGTGTCAAGTAACAAAATTTAAAACTAAAAATTAAATTTCAGCGAACTAATGTTTTTTTTTTTTTTAAAAATCATTTTCAAGGTATTATATTAAGACCTTATAACTAAATTTTTAAAAAAATTACCTAATTTTATCACATTATAAAACCATATTTTATTGTTAATTTTACGAAAGTCATTATCAAAACGCTTCGGTATCACATAAAATTACCAAGTTTTTTTATGTTACCTATTAGTCAGAAACGCACAAAATTTTACCATATTTTGGTAGTTGAGACCATATTTTTATTCTCAATGCACTTTGTTGTTCATACATATACGAATACGAGAAAAACCGAAGCATTTTCATTTGCATTTACGTTCTAAATTATTTGAAATTTTTTAGAATTTCGTTATGATGTGGTAGAATTTTAGTTATTAATCTGTTAACTAATGATAAAGTTTTCTGTAGAACTTTTTATTTCAGGAATTACATTCTGATGTACGCAAAAAAATAAAGAAAGACATTTAAAACAAAAATATCAATTTATTGTGTCTAATTTTTAGAAGGAATGCAACAATTAATCAGTTTTTGGAAGAAAAAGTTATTTTGATACATCATTCATGTTTCATCATTTTATGTTTAATATAGTTTAAAGAATTAAGCATTTTCTCTAGAAATGCTAATTGTAATGCCAATTCAGATTTCTAATATAGCAATAATTGCATGATTAAATTAATCCATTTCGTAAAAGTTTAACTATTTTTCATTAAGTAATAAAGAATAGTATTACAATCCTAACTTTGACACTAAATTTCTTTCCATTTCTTATGTAAATAATATTTATATAAATGCAAGTATTTAGCTGGGTTTACAATGAGCACTGGTGGTAAAACTTTTAGTGTAGTGCGTTATTTGTGCAAGTTCAGAGCACAAAATACTTAGAGCATACCCTCGCCATGCTCTATATGCTATGCTTGTGGAATACGCTGAAATGTTATTCCCACTATGAATTAAACCTTATATTATGATATAGCTGCCATAATTAAAAAAAATTTTTATGAAATTGTAAAATTAAAAATTTGAAGAGATTCAAGTAGAATTTTTCCAGATAAAAAAAAAGAGAGAGACAAGGCGCCTCAATTTTGGAAGACGTTAGGGATTCATGGAGAGAATTAATATCTTTGTATATATCATTACCAAAGTAAAGCACACTAGCTGTTTCATTTATGTATTACGAGAAACGATTTTATTTTTTCCTCTTTAAGACAGTTAAAAAAGGTTTTTTTTTTAAAAAAAAAGTTACATATAATTTTTTTTTCAAATATTTATTTTAAATTTTTATTCGGTTGTTTTTTTTTCCTTCAATCTTCTGTTGTACGTTTTTTTTTTTTTTTTAAAGAAAAGTCATAGAAATTGGCCATAAAATGAAGAAACACTTTCATTGCATTTTTTGAGGAGCAATTTTAATTTTATCTTGTATTGTTATCATTTAGAGAGTTTCAGCTTATATTTGAGAAAACTATCTGGTCGTAAAGTGTAAGGGATTCCAAGATTAGTAATAAATCATATTTGCGGATAATATAATGATGAACTTGTTTGTAACAGTCGAAGAGCCATGGAATCATATATTTACAACAGAAAAAGAACTTCAGTAACAATTTGATCATTTCAGCTTATTCGAAAATGACTCTTTATTTCTATTGATCATATATTCTTAGCACGAAAACAAAACAACTGAAAATTAAACGGTAACACTGACAATACTATTCAAAGATGCTGTAAATTACGAGTTCTCCAACTGGTTAAATAGTTGTCTAAATTGAGATTGAAGTTGAAATTTATAGCAATAAATTATTATTATTTTTCGTTGTAGTCAAGAAATTGTTTAAACTGGTACTATCATCAGACACAGAAATCTAGTAGAAAACTGACACTTTAGATAATCGAAAAAGTTTTTAAAATTGTTTGGCAAAAACTTGACCACAAAATCTGACTTTAGCTGCTCGGAAGTTATCAGAACTTGTTGCGTCATCCAACATAGGGCTTCAGTTGGAATTTTGAAGCTCTAGCTACTCTTAAAGTGGTTGTTAATCATAAATTCCTTGTCTCACCCAGCACGGAACTTCAATTAAAGCTAGAACACTTTAGCCACATTTTAAGTGATCAAAGATTTTATTCAAACTTAATTCAATTTGGTGGTAACACGACGATGAAATTTGATTTTCATTGTCAGAAAAAATTTGAAAATTTAATTTTTAGCAAGCGTATAGTCATAGGCAAAATTGAAAAAAAAAACTTACTTGACCTAAAGAAGTCAAATGAAATTCTCTCCTTTTCATTTACTTTTCTTATTTTTACAAATAAGAAAAGTTAATAGAAAGTAAGAATTAATTGAATTTATGTTTCGTTATGGAATAAATTTGCTTAAACAGCAAGATTTGACTATTCTCAAAACATATTTAACACTAAATGTTTAAAATTTATTCAGAAAGAAAGAAAAATATGAAAGTAAAAATAAGAATGCCATCTTATGATGCAGTATTGGAATATTTCTTAGGATATTTATGATCTGGACTATTTATAAGGTGAAAGGTATTGGGTAAGCCTTAGATATCATATTTTTATCAGCTTTTGGTAATATATTTCAGAGGAGTATAATGTGTATTAGTCTTAGGAAGCACATTTAACACATCTATTTAAAATAATAATAAATTTGAAATGTTAGTTTTCTTACACTAACCATTTGACCATGTTTAAGTAATAATATAATAAAAGAGTAATAAAAATATCTTTTAATAAATATATTTGTAGTTGCATTTGTAAATATTTAAAATACTTGCAAAAACTAAAATTCTACAAATAGTATTTGCAGTTATTTAAAGAAGTAGTTATTTCATATATGTTGAAATGAATGAATTATAAAAAAAAATTGTGAGTCTCTTGTTAAATT